GCGAACTGGGCCTAAGCTTCCCGCTGCCGACCCGCTGGCCGCTTCTCCTCCGCCCTTCCTTCCTCATGAAGCCGCTGGTCGTGTTCGTCCTCGGCGGTCCCGGCGCCGGCAAGGGGACGCAGTGCGCCCGCATCGTAGAGGTGAGGCCCGGACAGCTGGCGGGCTCCTGGAGCTTCACCGGACGTGGGCCGGCCTGTCCCGCCGCGCCTGACTGTCCGCGCCCCCTGGAGCCCCGGACTGCGAGTCCCGGCAGCCACCGCGCCGCCTGCGTGGCAGTGGCCGAGGGGCTGCCGGCGCGTGGCATGCCGGGACGCGTAGTTCGCGTCCGCTCGCCTCGGGGGGACCTCTGGGGTCACTTTGTTCCCGCGCCCCCTCTTTTCTGACATTTTGGGTTCCAGATGCGTGTGTAGAGTGGGCTACGGGAGGGGTTCCGGGCAGGGCAGCCTTCGGGGTTCCCAGCGCGCAGAAGTCAGTGTGTCTGTCGCCGGTTGCGTGGTGGGGGAGGCAGCAGGAGTGGGCATTGGGGCCAGAGGCCGTGTGCGCTCACGGTTTACCTGGAGGGGGAACCGGTTTCTCCTGCGTACTCCGAACCGTCCACTCGCAGGTCGTTACCCTAGAAAGGAGCCCCGGGGGGCCGGGTGTTATTTCATGCGTGGTGTGCGCTGCAGCTAGCTCTCCCGGGCAGTCCATGGAGGCTCAGCCCGGGTCGTCGGCTGGAAGAGCCGTGGAGTGGGGTGCTGAGGACGAGCTTCAGCCTTTGACCCAGCTCCCAACTCACACTCTGTCCTCGACCGACTGTTTTCCTGCCTCCGAGCCTCAGTTGCCCCCTTCTAATACAATAAGAAAAGTCTGTACCCAAATTTTCTCAAATATAAGACTTAACCTCCCAACTCTACTTTTCCTTTTGCTTCAAGACGTGGTAAAGTTGCCGATTCAATTATGTTAACAATTTTTGGGCCAGAGTGACAGACTTGGTTAGCGGTGGTGATACTGTGAAGAGAATCCTTTAATGAACAATCTGGAGAATGCCTGGGAGAGAAGAAAAATAGAAGGTATCTAGAAACGGAAGAGGCGACCATTGATGTTGGTATAAAGCACCCAAAGGGTCGCTATGAAACTCCATATGACAAAAGTTTTTGACCTAGAACTTCTAAAATAATTTCCTCCTCCTCCACGACATGGCCTACATTTGCGTTGGACTTTTACATGTCTCCTTTTATGTTCATAGAATCAATTCTTGTCCTGTATCTTATTCCCTAAATAGCATACAGAGAAAGTCAAATGTGTCCAAAATGTTATTATGTGCCTCCACCTCCCAAAGAGCTGGGATTATAGGCCTGAACCACCACGCCCAGCCTGAGAAGTTGCTTTTCACTTGAGTTTTTTTGTTAGAAAGGAGAAAATAGAAACAGCTATCTTGTATGGTATTTGTGAATATTAAATGAGGCAAAATATCTGGCACACAGAGAGATGCAAATAACTTTCGTCTTCACTTTTGATCTTATTGCATTGATTATTTTTATTATTATGCAGTATTTTAAAAATCTGTTTTATGATTATTATTTGAATGCATTTAAATACAGTATCTTTTTTCTGAATCTAATATCCGCCTAAACAAATAGTACTCATATTAATCCACTGGATTAATAATAATCTACACATTCTGTAACTAGTATGTAGTCTGCACTCTGCTTAGTAATGGCTGATTTTTTTTTTTTTTGAATTGGAGACTTACTCTGTCACCCAGGCTGGAGTGCGTTGGCACACTCATGGCCACTCCAGCATCGATCTGCTAGGTTCTGGTGATCCTTCCACCTCAGCCTTACAAGTAGCAGGAACTACAGGCTCGCGCTACCACACCCAGCTAATTTTTGATTTATTGTAGAGATGAAGTTTCGTCAAGTTGTCTAGGCTGGTCTTGAACCCGTGGGCTCAGGCAATCCACTCGCCTGGGCCTCCCAAAGTACTGGGATTACAGACTGAGCCCTCAAGCCCTGCCAGTAATGGCTGACGTTTTAAGCCTGTTATCGATTACAAGATTCCATGATGAGGCTGGGTGTGGTGGCTCACACCTGTAATCCCAGCATTCTGGGTTGCTGAAGCGGAAGGAGAATCTAACTCCTGGAGGTCGAGGATGTAGTGAGCTGTGATTGTGTCATTGTACTCCAGCCTGGGCAACAAAGTGTGACTCCAACTCAAAAAGAAAAATGGTTTGGGATGATAATTGACATTAAGCATTAACTTGATTTTATTTGTCTTTGTGTCTCTGGCATTGAACTAATATTATGCCTCAGCCACATAGTAGGTGATTAATAAACATTCGTTGAATGAGTATAGAGAACATTGTCCTGAAGATATAAACATTTTAAAATTTGGTCTCCAGAGGGCGCCAAAGTAGCAATTCGCACTCCCAATTTCAGACTAGGAGTTTTTTGAGATCAGTTTTTTCCTCAACTTTCTTATGTGGTCAGTGATTAAATGATATGATTGTGAAAATCTGTTGAACAGATTTCCAAGCTCCTGATTACAAATTCCAAAACAGAATAGCACTCAGAATAAACTAGATGGTAAAATCCACTGAATGTTAAGTTCCAGTGTTTACAAAGAGACCTTTTTCCTTCTGATGTACTAGGTGGAGTAATAAATATCTCTCTTTTTAAGAAAATTTAAGTTATCTGTAAAAGAGCTTGTCCACAGAATCTTTGACTTTCCTGAAGCACCATCACTTCATTATGGTGCTTGTAATATGGGTTTTTATGTTAAGAACTTGAGGAAGGGAGCATTATCTTCAGGTTACTTACTCTCCTTACTTTTGAAAACTCATTTTTCCCTTTCCATTTTAAATTATAAAAGTAATGCCTGTTGGAAAAAACTAAATCTTTTCCAATCCTGAGATCCCTAGTGTTAACTGCTTGGTATTAACTGGTTCCCCATCTCTTACTCAATGTTCTTAAAAACAAAAATGCATGTATTTATCTTTTTTACCTCAAATAGGATTATTCTGGGGTTTTTTTGTTCTTGTTTTTTCTGAATGTATCATGGATATCCTTTCAGATCTTCACCCATAGATTTAATTCATTTCTATTGACAGTGCCAGAATATTCCTTTTTTTTTTTTTTTTCTTTTTTTTGAGTTGGAGTCACTGTGTCACCATTGCCCAGGCTGGAGTACAGTGGCATACCCATGGCCACTGCAGCCTCAACCTGCTGGGCTTAGGCGATCCTTCCGCCTCAACCTTCCACGTAGCTGGAACTACAGGTGTGTACCACTACACCCGACTAATTTTTGATTTATTGTAGAGAAGAGGTCTCACCAAGTTGCCCAGGCTGGTCTTGAACCCCTGAGCTCGGGCAGTCCTCTCGGTCGGCCTCCCAAAGTGCTGGGATCACAGGCATGAGCCACCACAACTGGCCTTAATTGATACTTAATTGTCCAGTTACTTTACAGAAACAATGTATTAATGGTTCTCCAGAGAAACAGAACCATTAGGATATATAAATATAGATATAGAAGTAGGAGGGGATTTATTATGGGAATTGTCTCAGGCAGGTCTGGAGACTGAGAAGTCACACAATATGCCACATGCAAACTGGAGAACTGGGGAAGCTGGTGGTATAATTCAGTTTGAGGCAGAAGGCCTGGGAACCTGGAGTTCTGATATCTGAGGGCAAGGGGAGGTAGACATGTTAGCTCCTGAAGAGAGTGAATTCACCTTTACTCCACTTTTTTGTTCTAATGACCCCCAGTGAATTGGATAATGGTTATAGTGGCGAGGGCTGTTTTTTGTTTTGTTTTTTTAAGACATGTTCTTGCTATATTGCTCAGGCTAGTCTTGAACTCCTGACCTCAAGCAATCTTCCTGCCTCACTGTCCCAAAGTCCTGTAATTACAGGCATGTGCCACCATGCAAGGCCTGATCTTTGCTCAGTCTACTGATTCAAATAATAATCCCTTTCAGAAACACCATCATAAACCTACCCAGAAATAATATTTTTACCAGCTGTCTGGGTATCCCTTAATCCAGTCTAGTTGACATTTCAAATTAACCATCACAAACATGCTTATTACATTTCTTTCAGCAGTGTATTCTATCAGCAGTGTATGAATCTTTACCCTGGCACTTGTTGATCATAGCTTGAATTTTTGCAAACTTGTTAATCTTTTTTCTAAAGTTTTTTTTTTTTTTTTTTGAGTTGGAGTCTCACTCTGTTGCCCAGATTGGAGTGCAGTGACTGCTCCCGGCCACCGCAGCCTCGACCTGCTGGGCTTCGGCGATCATTCCGCCGCAGCTTTCCGAGTAGGCGGAATTACAGGCATGCGCTACCACGCCCGGCTAATTTTGTGATTTATTGTAGAGATGAAGTCTCGCCTGCCCAGGCGGGTCTCGAACCCGCGGGCTCAGGCAATCCACTCACCTCAGCCTCCCAAAGGCTCGGGATTACAGGCTGAGCCACTGAGCCCGGCTTTTCTAAAGTTTTTTGAGGTTAATTTCTCTGTTTTTTTAAAAAGAGTTCCATTAAGGTGAGATGACATAATTAGCTGTGTACATTAAAAAAATAAAATTTTCTTCCACTTGTCATTTATTCAGAAAACTTTTTTTTCTTTTTTTGGAGTCACTCTGTCTCCCAGACTGGAGTGCAGTGGCATCATGGCCTTGACCTGCTGGGCTCAGGTGACCCTTCTGCCTCAGCTTCTTGAGCAGCTGGAGCTATAGGTGCATGCCGCCATGCCCAGCTAATTTTTTTCCTTTTTTTCTTTTTTCTTTTTTTGTAGAGACAAGTTCTTGCTTGCTACCTAGGCTAGAACTCCCAGGCTCATGCAGTTCTCCTCCCTTGACCTCCCAAAGTAAGAAAACATTTTTTGAGAACCAAATACTGTGATAGTTGCCAAACTTAAGTAAGAAGACACATACCCTGCTGCCAAAAGTTTACGGTGTAGTGGGGAGAAAAGAATCAATGATGACTACAGGATAGAGTGATAAGTCCTATGATAGAAATATACCTAATGTACTATTTAAATAAGGGACATCTGTATTTTAGTCCAGTCAGGGAAGGCTTCTCAGAGGAGATGATGTGTATGAGTTCAGTTTGAAGGACAGCAAAAACTGTCTGTTTGAAGGAAGAAGCAGCTGAAAGACGTG